TTAAAAAACTTAGACATATATATTTTTATATAAAATTATATTATAACTATTTATTATTTTAAAGTATTTTAGTTTTTTTTAAAGTATTCTAAAATAATATATTTAATAAAGTCCCCTAGTCCTAGGTTCGATACTAAAAACTATATAAAAGTCCTAGGCATTAAAATAAATTTTATATTATTTTTAAATTATTAAAATATAATAATTATTTACTTATATAAAAGCTATATAATAGCTAACTTAAATTATATATAAGCTAGGTTAGCTTAGTAAATAATAACAAGCTATAAATGTAAAAGAAAATAAACTTTAAGCGGCAAGCCTAAATACTATAATAATAATATTATTTATATATAAAGCTTTATTAAAATATTTAATAATAAATATATTAATAACTAAGAAGCAAATTATCTATTGCTAAATAAATAATATTATATATTAAATAATAATTATATTATTCGCACTATAATATAGGCTTTAGTATACATACCTTATAAATATTATATTATAATAAATAGGCCTAGTTAGTCTCGCTAAACTAACTAGTAACAAGTATCCTTTGTTCTTCTAGCGCAATTAGTATATTATATAGCCTATAGAGTATAACAAATTAATACTAGCTTTAAAAAGCTTCTTTTAAGTTTAAAAAGTATTAATATTAGTAATCTTATTAATAAAGGCTAGTATAGCTAAGATATTTCTATTTTATTTATATTTTTATAGAATTATTTTTTAAAACTTTTAATATTAATATTAATCTTATATATTTAAAATAAATAATTATATAAATTAATAGTTTTTATATTAATTTTATAAGTAGTACTATAATTACTATAATTATATTTATAAATTCTTAAAATTCTTTTATTTTTAATTTTAAAATATAGCTAAATATTTATAATTTTTTATAAAGTATAAAAACTTTATACTTCTTAATAATAAATATAAAATCTTATAAGTTAAGTTTTATTAAAAAAAATAGTAACTCCAAGCTTATAAATTATAGGATTTTTATTAAAGTAAGAAATCTAGCTTCTTATAATTATATTATAGTTTTTCTTTTATTAAAACTTTTACTAATTAATATAATTAGCTTTAATATCTAAGAATAATAAGTATTATTATAAAAAATATCTAAGGATATTATATATCGCTTACTAATAAATAAAAAAATAGAAAAATAGCTTAAGTAATCTAAGTTTAATATAATTATTTTAGCTATATTTAAGTTATAAGTCTTTTTTTAATAAATTTATATATATACTTTATAATATTACTTTATTCTATAGTCTATTATATAAAAAAAAGTTAATAATATATTTAATAAGCTTTTATTATCACTTATTACTTAGGTTTTATTAATTTAAAAGTTAATTTAATAGAATATAGTTAATAAAAATTTCTTATTTTAATTAATACTTTACTATAAAAGGTTAGCTTCTAAAGCTTTAGCTAATTATATTACTTTGTTTAATTATAAAAATACTAAGAAATTATTATATTTAAAATCCCTATTATTATTATTAAAACTAACAGTTTAACTAATAGTTCTAGCATTAAAAACCGAACCGACTAATAAGAGCCTATAGTCCAAACCGACTAATAAAAAACCCTAAACTGTTAGTTATAACTAATAGTTCCTTAACAGTTGGAAAACCGTTGCCAACCCTGGTACTAAACATCCTCAACTCAGGAATTGAAAGAATTGGCAGCGGCTCTTTACCCAAAGAACGCTTTCCAAATGGCAAGATAGGGACATGTCACATCAAATATGATTAGGACCACAATTCTATGCACCTAACGGTGTAATGCTAGTCTCAAGAGATTCGGAGGGCCTACATTTTTAGGCCGTAAATCTGAAGTGCTTACCTTACGATTTAGCCTCTATGCGGTCAAATAGCGACAGCAACTCATAGAAGGTGTCAAGACATACACTTTGTGTCGATGAGGCCATAAGAGCGAAGGACGTACTCCTTCCACCAAGCACTTCGTCGAATTGCCTTACGCTGCTCACCACCCAGCGAACAATGGCTATCGCTAGGCAAGAGTATGGCTGCCGGGGGGGATGACGTCAGCACTTCAGAGCGAGTGCAATGACCCCGTAATTGCATTCGGTGTCGAAAACATACAGAGACTCGAAGGCTACAGTGGTCGACACTTCTTCACATCTGCGGCCAAGAATGAATCAAATACGTGTTGCTAGACGGGATATACGAGCTACGTTTTTAGGGGCTCTATTGATCCATCGTCGAACGTTTTCATCTAAAGGGCCCTTACTAATGCTACGTAATTTCTGGCCTCGTGCTAAGTACCTCTAATAACACTAAATGGGAGGTACAAAGCCAAAGCGACTAGAAGCCATGATACTAGTAAGGTACCTCCCTGTCAAACGAAGAGTCGAACCGTTAGCGAAATCCGATTACAGCGAGAGGGTTAGAAGATCAAACGGCAATAAGACTTGACCAGCGAGAAGAATGGCTATAACCTTAGCAATTCGCAGAGCCCTTTATTAGTACGCTCTTCTGTTCATTTTCTCGCTCAAGCGAGCGAACGAGGCTGTGAAGTGCGAAGGCGTTAAATAGTAATGTACATAGCGATAGCCTTAGAGTACAGAACGATCTCTCGTTGACGGATGGCTAGATTCAAATGGTAAGTCAACAGTACGATCGCGAGTGATATTTCCACTGTGTTAGCAGATCGATTTGTTGTACAGCTTATTGCTCGATTTTCTGCGATGATATCTCTCACTACTTGTTGTGCGGTAGCTTTTAGTTTTTCCATCAATCCTAGAACTATTGCATTGATATTTTTTAGGTATGTGGTGAGGTTCCTCGCCAATAAATACTCTATAGGTTATATCTAGTTATTCTCTTTGCTCGAGAAAGGTCTGTTATTATTGCCTTGACGCGAAGGCTATCTGTATATTGAGGCTAATAAATATATAAAGCTTTTACGACCAAAGGTAGTAGATAGACTATAAATAATCTTAGACCTATAAATATAAATATGTCGGGTTAAGACTAGAACTGGGAGGCGCTATGACGTTTGACCAAAAAAAACTAGTACCTCGATATGAATCTAATTATTCTCACATTAAATAGCTTGAATTGCTAAGTGCACTTCATAGTCTTGGAAAGGGACTTACTTCATATTAAAAGAAAATAATGATTGCCGCAATTGTTATAATGGATGTGCCACCGCGCCCAACTGCTGTACTCAAATTTGACAGTACTTAATAGTAGTTGTTAGGGCAAGAATACGAGATGTCTTGCTGATAATAGAAATGTCTATAGAAATTGCGACTAGGGCGTCCACCGCTTAAGCCAGCAAATCAGAAGTCCCCTAAAGCGCTAAGCTACCCTTATGATAATTGCTCCTTTTTAACAAGTTTCTGCCTAAGAAAGCCATGATAAATCGGACATTAGAACGTGGTAAAGTCTATGTCAGGCGCGAGGTGCCCTACTTGTGGAGGAGTAGGATTGTGATAGTACTGTTAACCTCGCATTCTTATGCTATGAAATAACTGTGAAATAGCTTCAGTCAGTAGATCCTAAATTTTCGCGGCAGATAGGCAATTTGAATATCAGCGACAGAGTCTGACCAAACACAGCAATCGCCTTTTGCAAGGACTTTGCAACTTCTGGCATCGTGCACACGTGGGTTGAGCTTCATGTAAGGAGTTGTTAGTTAAATACTACTCTTATTAAGAGGAATATGCTCGAGATAATTACCGCGTCTGACTCTTCGCAAACGGTATGTGGGAAGGCCACTTTTGTTTGCTTGGATCCTGATTGACTATGTTGACTCGCCCACTCCGTCACGCGATGCTTGTATGAGCAGGTACGCGGGCTCAACATGCATGTAAATAAAAGCTAACAGGCCCAATATACCTAAACGTCCTATCATGAGTATTGGGTGATTCAAGGTGCATCAATTGCAATACAGTACTACCCTTTCATGCCTTCGAGTAACAGGATTTTGGGCTTCGGAGCATACCTTCTGCCGCTTCTTGTCCCCCGTAAGGCTTGGATCTGAGAAACCTTCGTCTGATTTCGATAGGCGCGCTAAGCCTCCATGGTTACTGCAGCATGATCCAAAGACAAACAAATGAGCCTGTCCCGAATGCGCCCAGTGACGAAATCTCGATACCGCTGGCTGCTCACGTCTGGAGTATGACGGCTATCAAGCTCATGCGAACAACACAGGTTTCCCAATGCACGAGCTGCGGACTTTTCGAATGCCGTAGCGGCAGCTCGAATCCTAGGAAGTCAGTCTCGTGTGATGGTCAATACGAAGAGGATTGTCTCTAGTGAATCTTGACGGTCGAATAGCAGCAGATAAAGCAAAAATCTTGCTTTATTCCGCGCCAGATCCATGACCTCAGGCCTTAGTTTGCGTGCTACTCCCCTCGACACCATTAGCGCGATACTCACCTGATTCACTGCATTCGTCGTTCGTCGCGTTGGCGCAATCGCAGTCTATGTGCTCGTTGTATCCCTTCTAATTGTCGACATTTCAGAGATCTCGCTCGGAGCAGTCAAGTCATGATAGCGACTATGAGCTCTTTCAGTACATGATCGAACTTTGAGGCGTGTCATCGAGGTGCTGCCGCAGTATCACTATGGGAGGCTGGCGGCTGAAGATATCGTGAGGCCAGTGTCACTACTGGTGAATACGCTGAACGTAGATTTTGGTATAGCCTGTTAGACATACGTATATCAATATGTTTTGGCGTTCGAGGCTGGAGGCTTTTAAGCACTGGAAGCAAATCATATGGATTATCCCATCGCTTTCAGTCTGCTTTAGTCCCAATCGAAACACAAGGAGAGCAGCAGGGACTGCGAAAAGATTTATCGACAAAGATATGAATTAATCGTATATTTTCATAGGTTTCGTGTTTGGAAAAGGGATAACTTAGATATAGCACCGTTTGATTACACAAAAGCAGACGGCGATAGGTAATCGTTCTACATGACTGAATGCACGCCAATGGATCCCATTCAGAGCTCATCGTGGTGAAAAGCCATAGCCTTGACCCAAGGCTCATCTTGTGGCTTTGCCAACTGTACCGTTCCCACGAATCTATCCGTACCCTGAGGCCACGGGTCATAGTCCAAGCGCGAACAAGCTCCGCAAGTCTTCGGAGGACCCAGAGGCTTACTAGTCGCGTCCTGAGCTTGCAGGCTAATCTGTTTTGCGACATACAACGGACCGGTCTTCTGTTGTGTTGACAGCACGACCTCCTGCCTAGAACTAGCCGGAGGATAAGCAGTCGTAGGGTTCATACCGAAAATCTTCTGACCAACGGGCTCCTTTGCGTCACGAGCGAGGCTAATGACGTCTTCATAAGAAACGCAGATAGCGACGTCCCAGAGAATGTTTCTGTTCCCGTCGCTGTCGCTGCCACCATCCAGGCAGAACTCTCCCGGTCGGCAGCTGTAGTGGAACGTTTGAATGCCGCCACCTTCACCCCAATGATCGTGGTTCAGACATTCAATGTCGTATTCGCCTACGCCAGGGCCAGTACATGAGGATTGGTAGAAAGCGTCCCAGTCTGGAGATGTGCCAGGCGGGGCATCTTCAGGGCAGTTTTCGATTCGACGTTGGTAATTGCCTTGTCTCTTCGCTAGTCTGAGCTTTTGGGAGCTGTCTGCTGCTTCATCGATTGGGTAGATGGGCGTGCTAAGGCGATCGGCCGTCAGTGGCAGTCTTGGAGGCGAAGATTGGCTTTTTACCTTTCCACGATTGTAGAGTTTGATTTAGAAGCTCTGTTCGGCAAGGATGGTTGCTTGATTGCGATTCCTAGACATTGAAGAGCGTTGCATATGGCAAAAAGTGCAAACAGGCTAGACCTCATCCTCGAAGACAGAAATGGCTCAAGGCAAGTAGATGATGTTAATTACCATTGGCTTGTTGGCAGATACGGCCGTATAAAAAGACAGAGGCATTTACTGTCCTTATATGTTCTTTGAGCAATACATGCAGCTGCACCATGACGTCAATGGCTACCTTCTTTCACTCGCCATCGATGTTCGGATAAGGCAAAAGCTGGGGCGAGAAATGAACCACGAGCCGTGCCATGGATATCTGGGCGTTTGCACAACGCCCCCACCGCTAGACGACTTACTTCTGTTGACGTATTGATGCCAAATAAGACAGATGCAAACGGCAGCGGGCCGTGGTGTCGTGCCTATGCGGGACATATATGCGCCATTGCTCTTTCATCGATCGCGAACGCATGAGATTTTGAGTCCCAAAGCAACGGAATGAAAAGCATGGTATGCTGTTGGCAGCAACAGGGGGCTCTCTATTTTGATAATGGTCCTGGCTTTGATGGCAAAGTTCGTACCTCATGGCAGACCAATCATGCACTCACCCATCGAATACGACCTCATTTCCCGACCGACGCCGATCAGTACCGTGATGACGAAGAGGCCGATCGAAACGGAACGGATCGCATAATTAGATTGACGACTTTGTAGAATGCGGCAGCTCTCGCCTTTTAAAACTCGGACCGCTCGAAACAGAACATGAACGACCAGACTGGGGCACGGTGCCTTAAGAAAGCGGGGTTCGCGTTTCAAAGACTATGGGGCCATGAATGGGGGCGAATCCCTTCCCTATGATCCCTTCACACTCATGCTTGTCAAGGCTGAGATCGTCTGTTGGTCTTCGAATATCACAACCGGATATTAGACGACGGCAATAACAAGATCAATTTCAATCCACTCGCTTCAGGACATCACAGGCCGGGAATCCTTACTTCAGGCAACGGCCACATTCATTATGAGAAGAGAGTGGGATAGGCGTCTGCAGCGTAGTCAAGCTCAATGTCCTGCCGCACATGTTGGCCACGAGCTTTAGGAGTCCCGAGTCTAAGGGTTGATCGAGAGGGGTTGAGCGGCGGTAAATGCGTCGATTGAGCACAGCTAGATTGACCGGAAGAAGCGGCCGTCAAGTCTAGTCACTTAGCTCCTCAAGTATTCTTTTTTGATCCCATTTGCCCCCCTTCATATGCATCCTCCATAAGAATATCCGACGACACCAGGCTGATTAGGATAAGCCCGCGAGAAATGCTGTAAGAGTCCGAGGGTATGAGGAAGAGAGGGGAGAGGAGAGGGCTGCATTTGAGCCCCACACCCGAGGAAAAGGGCTGTATTGATTTTGCAGGCCAAAGCTGGCGGAGGACTGAGGTCTTGTGAGGGCGATATTGTCGATTGAGGGACATGTACAGAGTGAAGGAAGTTCATTGAATATGCCAGTGGATTCGGGCGTTAAAGTGTTGCAGACGCCAGTGAAAAGGTTGAAGCAACTGATTCAGTGATTAAATCGAATGTGAAAGTCGTCAAGAGGGCAGTACGAGACCTCATTGTTGATCAAAGAAGTGGAGTTGGTGTAAATGGTATTGGGGGTATGAGGAGCCCCGGCTTTAACGGAGATACGGAGAGCGCTTGGGGTTGAAATGTCAAATGGCTTCCTCTCCCTATTTGAGCTCAACAACACAACAGTCCACGCGTGTGCATCGGCAACATATATCGAACGTGAGCAGTCTTGCGACTAGATGTATCGGAGATCTAGCGATATAGCAACAACAATGTATCAGCACCATCATCCCATGAATCCCTCCAAGCGACGACCATTAACACAGCTCAAACAATTAATGCGCTGCGCTCTACTATCATCGTGTACGAGTTCAACAGCACGGCTGTGAGCGAAGGCAAAATCTTCAACGTCCAGGCCCTCTTGATTCCACGTTCAAATGGATGCGCAACCTGATCGGCGGACAATCTCTTGAGTTCTGACACGGGAAGCTCGCAGGTCAGTAGGCTCGAACCAGACCAGAGCGTCTCTGACCGATAGAATAGCTCGTTTGACAAACATCTCACATGACCTTTCCTACTCAACGCCCTTTCTACGGCTTCCTCTCCTCCCACATTACTCATCCGCTCAGCTGCTCCCCCAGGCCCCCTCACCCCTCCCCACCTTTCCTCTCCTCCATCCTTGAGCAAATTTACCGGTACAAACGAAAACAGAAGCTAGTGTGGGATGTGCCAATGTCACAATGGAGATGAGGCTACGCTACGCTACGACCGTCATAGAGACGGCTGTCTAAGCGGATTCCGCTGGTGCGCGGCTCAATTGTCGGGAAATATGATCGCGATGTGCATTGAAGGCTTCAGGCAAAGTGGATGATAAAGCAAAAGATTCAATGGGATACCATGAGACAGAGCATTGCAAGAAATACCAATCACAAGCTGCTGGAAGCTGGGCAATAGTCGCGTCAGCTTGAAGAGCGTGGGCTGGATCATATGTGCCGAAGAGGGTTACAAAGGCCGGCTGAGGATAAGAAAAGTGATGATAGGTCAGGAACTATGAGCTACAAAAGCGGTATGACGGGGGGTGGCAAGGCTCGAAAGAAACAAGGTCATGTGCCGAAGATTCAATTAGAATGAGAAGACTGGATCTATGGTAGATGGCTAGGTCAAAGACTTCGTCCTACAACCTGTCTAGCTACAAGAGCTAGCATGCTTTCGGGCTCAAGCGCTTGCGATGCATGCGGCCCTGCTATCAACGTTGAAATCGAGTCCAACTTCTGCCTACTCTCGACCCATACAACCCGAGTGTGATTCAGATCTGCATGTCCAACCAGCATTGTTACCAGGATCCAGAGATTATGAATATGAACATGACAGAATCCACGGTGGAGGAAAGCCTGAAGACGAATGTGGAGCAAGATACAAGGGGAAATTCAAGGGGCCAACCACAAGATACAGAACGACAAGTACCCTATAGCGACTTCATGCTCCATAACGCAGTCTTGCTGCACGTTCATCAAGGGCGCTGTTCTTCCGCGTCATGGCGAGCCATTGGAAGGCAGATATGTGAAGTTGACACGTCAGGTCACATTTCTTTCGATGTATAGCCAGGTCTCTCCCGCTTCTGGGCCCCTCTCTCTGTCAGCGTGTCTCAGACAGCTTATGAGCTATAGCGGTCACATGCGGCAGGAGCGCAGATGGCCAATCAGGTTGACTGGGGCACACAACGACGGGGCTCCGAAAAAGCACCTGTCATATTTTATTGTTGTGATCCTGCGTCCACAACCCGTGCAAATTGGTGACGCATGACAAAGGCGTCGACGGACCCCGATGTGCTGCATATGCTGGTCGAATACTCGCATTTGCCTGTGTCTCATACCGTTGTGGGTCATGTTCTCTTCAAAACACTGCTGCTCGTATATGATGCCCCTATCATTGTGCGTGCATCTTATTACCGTATTTGACCATCCTGCATTTCTTGTTTCATCCCCCTGTTGGCAGCTCGTCTCCTACGACGGTGCATGCATGGCGGTCTATCATGATTATCAACAATAGGGCTTGCTGCAGAACATAGCGCTGCAGCTCCGGCCCTCCTCTCCAAGCTTTTACAGTGGTCTCTTCGCTCTCCATTTCTTAGAATACCCTCCTTCATCATTCCAGATACCCACAGTCTTCCGAATGGAGCACTGATGGGTGCGACTCACCATCTTCATATCTCCACCTAGATCGTCAGACTTCATTCACCACTACTAGTATGCCCGGCTCACTTGACGGTGCAATCGTGTGCAGTAGTCTTCATCCGGCCCACATGGTCTCATCCGTTGATCCTCCATATGTGATTCATACATGGCATCAGTACATGCAACCTGGACCTGGGCCTGCGAGCGCGACTCGGGAGCATTGGCGCTTACAGGCCGAAGCAGAGTATCGTCGTCACCAGCAACAATTTCTCCGGAGGGACAAGCGCTCCTTGCGTTCTGGTGCAGATTTCATAAAGGAGAACTTCGCGAAAGCCTGGTATACTGATCGAAGTGCGATATACAATGTATGAGCTTACACATTGTGATAGGCTTCAATGGGAGAAGAGGGATGGTACTGCCAGAATCTCTAAAGAAGTGTTATATATTCGATATTGCAGGGAGCTACGTCGCAGCCTTGTCCTTCGGCTGAGCAAAAAGCCTTTCTCTCGGCTTGTCGATGATGTGTTCCCCCTACCAAAGGCCAAACGCGTTGAACGCCTTACACCAGACTACAAAGGTTCCACCAGCCCAAGTGGAGAAGACTTCCGATCCGAAGAAAATCCTCAGGATGTTACAGGCGGATTTACAACAGCAGCTTTCTTGAGCAATCTCGCCGCTCGCAATTCGAAGTCCCCGTTGACTCAATCGCCGTGTACGAGCTTTCATCATGACCAGGAGCTCCCAGCAGCCAATTTTCAAAGCTCCGCAAGTACGTGTGCATCTATGTCTTCCTTGGACCAACCTTTCATCGACGGTCAAGACTTTCCCCGCACCGAAGCTCAGCCTACAGCCATCAATTACAGCCAGGCGCTCCCAGCAGCCAGTCCACTCAACAACGCAAGTATATCTACATTCACGACTTCTCCGAACCAGCCCTTCTCCCCGTCATCAACCATTAATCTCCAAGACCTCTCGACAACAAGTCATCTAGCCCTTTCCACCCCTCCAGACATGGGGTCCTTCGACACTCACGTCTCCGATCCCCTCAGAAGCGCCCACCCATACCCACCACTCCCCTTTACCATGGACAGCCCGCCCTCTCTCCCCCTCCCAGCAACCGATCTCAACACTATCCCTATCCCTACAGAACCAGCTTACCTCCCCGCTCCTCTCCCCTCCCCTTCACTATCGACCCACTGAACATCCCCTACAACCTCACTATCGATCCCCTAGACATATCCGATAGCCACCATCTCGGCGACTGGATAGACGCAAACACTTTCTTCAATTGCTGATAAACTGAGGTAGCCAGGTATCGGTGTTCGTGGGGGTATGTTGGGTGGTAGGTGGCGTGTATGTGGAAGGAGGGAAGCGAGGTTAATTTTGGAACGGTTGTTAGGCTTGTGGGGGTGGTGGGGGGTAAGGAATTTGAGGGCTATAATGGGAAAGTTAGTGGGGAGGTTTGTGGGTGTCTTTCTGGTATAGATTTCGGCTTCCAAAGCTACCACGTTGTTTGGAGATTTCTCCATGATCTATAGGCATGATGGTATGGATATGGGCGTTCACAGCCACCACGACCTCGAGCATTGGTATGGAGAGACGATTGGCTCGTTAGTATAAGGATAGGTATAAATTCAAGGCCTTCAATTAGTGTTTGATATAAGAAGTTTAGTCTTCGAGGTGACTTTGTGTATGCTAATTCAATCCAGCGGCGGAGAGTCTGATACTCTTAGACATATCCAATGAACGAAAATTTCTTTACATAACTATGCTCCCGCTTGGTTCGGCCACACACTACAGTGCTTCGTGGATCGCTTACGGTACTGCTTTCACTCCTTCACAGATCGCTTGACCTGTTCTACTTACCGACTAACAAGACTGCTAGTAGGGTACTGACATACCTTTTAAGGGTCCTGTTGGAGGATCGTCATCAATAACGCAGCTGAAGATTGCGGACGCGATTGTACCGCTGAAAGAGTCCAGGAATACAATTATGGCATCTATCGTTTTATCTCACATACTGGTCTCTCACCCACGTTTGCCACTGGCGCTTGGACATTCACTTGAGGCCGAGTCCATTTATTCGGCGGCGCATACTAGAGCATAGCAAGTCTGTTCAGAAGGCTAAGCGTGGCTTTCATCGTTCCTGAGAGGCGGAACATGGCGAAACGACGTGAAAGACAAGGAGGTAACCGGCTTAACAGTCCAGCTGAACTCTTCCATCGCCACCATGTTAACTCAGGCTGTGAATCTGAACCAGGCTCGACTTGCTTGGCCCACTGACATGATCTGAGCTCGGCCCAATTTCTCCGTTACTTCCTGAGAGCATGAGACGTATATTGATTCATGCTCATTGACACGCGAGGGCAAGGCAAAATGCCACCATCACAAACGCCAAAGCGATTTTCCTATACTTCTATGCTAGGCTCGACTCGAGGAAGTTTCTCCTATGGAGGTAGGTAAAATGTGCAAGTGGTCTTCAATATAGGAATTGGAAGCGCTGTTGACCGGTGAGACTTGTTGCGGACGTGAAAGGATATCGTACCATAGCTCTCGTCGCCCAAAGGGTTAGTTATAATGCAACCAAGGCCTCTTCAGCCCTATGTAGTATTATGTTATGGGTTTATCTATAACGAACGGACCCCGTGAAAGAATGCCTCGTCGAGTGCAAAGAAGACTTGACGCATACTTAGCGCGATGAATGAAAATTGCTAACAATGTAGCGACAGATTGCAAGTTGTGCACATCAAGAAGAAGTAGTGGAGGATCTATTGTGTTTTATCTGCATAACTCCACCCATGAAAGACATGTCCACTACTCCAGCCAACATAGTCAAGTCAAGCCTTTCGGCCATGCAATAGTCATCAATCTTGCTTACTCCTTCACAATCACAGCCCGTCACCAGTTATCCTCTTGCCACCTTCTTCAAATTCGACCTCGTTGCCAGCCTCGGAGCACCTTCATACTCAAACAATAGATCCTGAAAACGCTTGGGATCGATCTCACACTTCCCCAGGGCAACCGTCAGATTTCTCCCACACCGTTTGTCAACTCCTTAATCTATGCAGCGACATATATGCAAAAGAAGACCAACGATACGACGCCGCACACTTTTCTGACGGATGCCGATACTAATAAGCAAAGCAAAATCTTTCTCATTCTCTCTACTGCAAACGTCGATAAACGTACTGGTAGTTCGCACGTGTGGATGTTTTAACGCATGTTCTCATTAGTCCTGGCCTTCTCCTTGAATCCGCGTTGTCTAACGTCAATTTCGGTTTATCTTCACTCCGCTAACCCTTTCACCCGAGTTTGATAGCAAGCTAGGCGCATGGGAAGGCAGCATTCAAGAAAAGCGGAGAAGTACGGCCTCACGTGGAATGTTTGAAGCATATCCCTGCTTTGCATAGCACCTTGTCACCAAGTTCCCAAAGTTTCTAGCGGTAAGGATGCTGCTTTCTCAGCCTGAGATATAATGTTCAATGCTGGGGCGTAGCCCATGGATTTGAATATAGGATAGAAGATAGGAGATCAGTAGGGAGTCCTAGCTGAGTATGAGGGGATTATAGATGTGTGCGTGGCAAAATCCTCTGAGAGGGAACATATACAGATAGTACAGTTGATTTAATTGCGGGCTCATGATTACGGGTCGTGTGAGACTCGCTAGAGAATGGTTAAATCTGAGGACCTGTCTGATTCGGACCATTAATCATTGTCTCCTCTCCGTTGTTATCGACTATCAATGGAAAGGGTAAAGGGATGTATCAAGGATTGTCAAAGCTTCCCATCCTGTAGCGCTTCTATAGCGCTCAGCAGAAGTCAGGACTGCCTGTTGCGATTAATGTTAAGTATTTTTAATTAGTGATAGTGTGCTTGAGACGATGGTGATTCCACATCTTTCGTCTGTACTCCTGTAACTATCTCGAGTTCATGAACCGTTTCGAAGCCCTCATGCTTCAAGGCGCTTGGAAGTCGGCGCTCATTACACAGAAAATGCTTCAGATTTGCAGGTGAGAGGACAATGCCTAAGAGCTTGAGAATTTTAAAATAGACTTTTATCTTAGAGTAAAACGGATTTAGAGGACTTTGGGATGAGACTATGAATTCAGTAGCTTCTCTGTATGTCGCTGCGTACCAAGCTACTAGTAATGAGCCGATTCCATCTCATGTTCCTCCAACGAGATGTCCATGGAATACATATCAAATGATCATTATTTTGAAGACGAATTGAAGCATACTTTGCGTCTTAGTTACCCTCTGTCTTGATCCAGACTCACAGACTCCAAAGCAACTTGCAATCCATGCAGTTTAAGTTATATTGCAACATTGCGAATGCCACCGAGGCTATGACTAGAATCAACTTCGAAACGAACTTCTAAAGAATATAAAATATTTTGCAAGCTCGAAATCTCTCTCCATCTCGAAAGCCCTATTGTAAGCCATCCATATTACGATCCTCGGATCATCGTCCCATATATATCAAACACTATCATCCAAACCCCGGCCTCCTCCCTTCTCCTCTTTCCCAAGCACACATCACAATCCCCTTCAAGTCAAATCAATAACATCTCCCCCTTCCCTCCTCCCCTTCACCCTCTTCAAATACCTCACAACACCCCCATAATCGCACGCCACAACCACCCCAAACGCCTCCCCCAACACCACCCTCAAAACCCTCCGATCCAACCCTCCAACCACCTTCCTCGCCTCCTTCCACCTAATCTCCCACTCCACCATCCTCCTATCCTCCCTCGTCATCCTCTTCGTCACAACAAGCGTATCCCCCCTCCTTCTATCCGTATTATGCGAACACCCCGTCCTAGTAAGCAGCTGATGCAAATGCGCTCTCCTGCCCGAGTCCACTGCAAAGTCCATGCTCTCTTTGTCCGGATCGGCGAGGAAGGCGTCCAGGCGTTTACAGTCGATGCAGCGAGGGGAGTCGCAGCCCTCGGGTCCACGGGAAAGGTTGCGTTTGGGGACGGGAGAGCGCTGGACGTACCGGGTTATGTATGCGGTGAGGACTGTGAAGAAGAGAGTGGCATAGAGGGGGTTGGCGGCGTCGGATTCGGGGGACAGCGCGTGGGGTTGAAGGAGGGTTAGGAGGGGAATGAAAAATGTCTGGAAGGCGATTGGCGGGCATGATGAGGTGTTGGAGGAGAGCCTGCGGAGAAGGAGGGTGAATTTGTCGGGGGAGATTGGTTGGAGGAGTTTGAGGAGGTCGGCGGTGTGGGGGGCGCTCATTAGGCATGTGACGGTGCTGTCGACTGCTTGAGAGCCGGGAGCTGGTCGTTTTGTCGTTGTTTGGCATTCGATGGTAAAGCTTGATAGGAGGTTCTCTACTAGCTTGCCTACCCCTTCGTCCGCCACGTTGAAATCGGCATTGGAACTCTTTGCGGCTTGGAGGAGCTCAACTGCGATGCCGATCAAGAATGCAGTATTTGTGGGATGAGCTTTGGCGATTTCCAGGCATCTATGTCATATGAGCGACGATCAGCTTTGCAGGAATTGCGATTGACTTACTCATGTACAGTCAAACACTGTGGATCACGGGTTACTAGGCGGACCAGAGAAACTCCATCAACACTGTTCGGGCTTGTGATGACTTGTAGCGCTTCTTTGCACGCGGACGCCATCCAGGTATGCATTTCTTCAACTCTGTTGGACTCTAAATCATCGAAACCTCGAGCAGCTTCTTCGAAGCCATGGGTGATTCGCCTAATCACCTGATATCGGGTGCGGAAAAGCGTGAACCTTCTTACCAATCTGTCGAGACTGAAAAATGCTGTCAGCGAATGGTGTGGCTGTATGTGTATAGGGAGATAGCGCACCTATCAATACCTGGCCCCAACCCCAATTTGTATATCGCGGCACCAATCGTGGTGTAGACCTCGCTCTTTTCCAGCGAGAGTGCGCTATTCTTCATGGTCGACTCTAGCAAATCTTGACTATGGAGAATGACGGAAGCTTCGATGATGGAATTCAGACTTGGTGATTCGAAGGCTGCCAGGAATGTGTTATCCGTGGACCATTTTGGCTGTTGCGATTTCGTTCTCTTCAGAACAGGACTTCGATTCAATGAGGAGCACAGGGCGAGAAGATCTTCTCTCGCGGAGTTATCTTCAGCATCTGCCTTCACGTTTTGTAAAAGGCGATTGACCCAGTCGTTGATTTTGACAGTCCCGTTGCGCAGGTTGTCGTCAAGGAACGCATGGCGTTTGGCAAGTGGCATCAAGATCATGACCTTTACTTGGCGGATCAGCGTGAGTATACAAGAGCAGGTCGATATTCAGACTCACTGTATCGTTATACCAGTGGGTAGCAGACACGCCCTCATTACCCGTATAGCCGGAGTAGTCTTCGCGATCGGGGTCTCTGTCAAAAACATCCTCCTGAACTATATCTCTCGCTTGAAGCTCTTGCTTAGCAAATATCAAGATGTTGCCATCAAGATCGACGATGCGCCTCAAAGACAGCGATTCTTCCATGACAGCATCGATCGGATGGAACTTCTTTGGCCTTGGTGGGTTGTCGTAACCGTACCCCCAGCCACCATAGTCGTTTTCATCCTATCCTCCTTCGCACTCACCCATTCTCTCAAACTCCATGGTCGCAAAATAAAGGCAAAAGCCGTGCTGAGCGCAAGCCTCTTGTAAATAGACCGCCTTCATTTTGTCATCCCCCTTGAGCGCCTGAAGACTAAGGCTCGCATCGGTATACATATGGTCGAGCACATACACAAATGCTTCAGCTCCATATCTGTCCCCGAGGCTGATGGTACGATTCCAGGAAGAAAAGATAGTGTCAAGTTCGTCCTTTTGCCTAAGTGCGAGTGAAGCGGTAAGCCTTGGTCCCCCGCTCAATCTGACAAGGTTGTATGTCAGCACTAAGCGATAGCCAGACGTGACAGGTTTGACTTCGTGAGTGACGTCGGCGTACCAGGTCAAATATGAGTGGAAGAAAGCTGGTGAATCAACTGCAAGGGTTCTCGATTGGCCGCGATGCGTCGCAAGTACCGCACCACCTTCATACTCCGAGGGCAAGGTGATGGCGAGTGTGCCGAACATGCCTGGTTCTTTTTCCGTGTCTTGATGCGGCTTGAACATTGCGCCCTCCTCGTAGAGGAGAAGCTTGTAGACATTGCTTCTCACAGCGGTCCCATGGGGCAGTCCAAGATTTTGTATCACCTCCTGCGTGACTTTTTCTATGATTGACGGCCAGTAAGGATGAGACAGTTGGAACTGATCCGGATTGAGCTCCCAAGTCTTCCGCACTCTCTCATCTACTAGAGTATTGTGACCCTGGCCAAATGGTGCTCTATGACATACCTCGATGATTTGCTTGGCTTGGTGTTCAATGAGGGGGAAAGCGATGCGACCGACGCCGTTGACCTTGAGGCCAGTAGCGACATGGCCTGCGATCCGCCCTGATGTCGCAAAGTCCCCATGGGTTTTGATCTTGGAGAAAAATTTCCTGAGGGCAAGTCGCGTTGAAGCCTCGTCAGGACTACGTTGTGAGGGGTTACTCCTACGTGGTATATCGAACGAATCAGTGTCACTATCATAGGCCAATCGTAGAGGCATTTGGTCTCGCCGGCCCACGGGCTCACGACCAATTGACGGATGATTGGGTGAAAATTTGACGGAAGAAAAAGCGCGTAAACAATTACGTAAGCAGACGCGAAAGTAACGCGCTAGAGATCCCATGATGTCACCACCCTCGGCTGCCATGAACAATAGGACTGCAATGCCTGTAAGATACTCCATTCGATCAGGATGCGCATAGAAATCTTGATAACTTGTGCTTGAGCTGCCTTTTCCGATTCGATCCTTGCAAAGATGGAATTGCTGTGTGAGCAAATCCTCTGGGAATATGAGTTTACGCATGCTTTACCCATTTAGTCAGATGGTCGTGAATCGGAGGTAGTGACTGAGACAGCAGGGAGCACGAATCTCTCAAGCCAAATCTTGTTCATCGATTATCTCTGCAGGGAAGCAGCCTTTAATCTTTGGAAACAAGAGAACTATGAAGTTCCAGCCGAGGCAGGAATGTTGTCTCGGAGCGGAAGGTGCAAGGTGCATAGAGACGAAATGCTATGGTGCTTCGATTTCAGGTGCCCGAGGAATGCCGAAGGTATGCTGGCCTGAGTGAACAAATTAGCCATTCATTAAAACAATAACGGTCGCCTCCCATACAATGGGTGCGTGAAAGCATATGTTGTTGAAGATGGAATCTGGTAAGATGGTGTAATCGTCTTGTATCTTACCCCATTATCCCAATTATATGTAGAGGCCAGGGAAGCGCAGGTCCTATCGAGTTATTGCCGTGAAGTCATTGTATTATATGGCAACCAGATGAGTAGACGAAAAGGGTGGGCAAGCCGGAGGCTGGTCTGGCAGACTCGAAGGCGCGGACTCAATGAAGGTCGTCACGATCTGATCATACACAGAGTTCTCTCTCCAACTAAATGCCTTCACACCATTGCCGCAAGATTTTTCCTAAATCTTGCTAATCCTATTGCCGTAATATTACTAAGTTCCTCTATGCTGACGTTAGTCACGCTGGACAGCTATCAAATCTATGCTCCTACCTCCTTCCGTGCCTTTGAAGGCAATGACCGACGCTCCAACCCCGGCCCCACCGTCGTGGTACAGTACGGCCGTGTTGTCCTCGCCGGGAGAGAAATCGAGTATTCGCGCGGAGTCTTCGTCCAACGTCAAGCAAGGCGTGTCTGGCTTATCATCTGGTACGTTCAGCTGCCTTCTTCGGACGATTGAGGGCATGGAATTTCAATCGCTACCTCTCGCAAAATGACGTCCTTTGAGGAACAACAGATCTAGCTTGACACTCCCAGGCCCAAGATCCCGACCGGCTAGTTGATGCCCGACTTCTTTGTCGATGGTGATGACATGCAAAGGGCCACCTTGTACGTCGCACCAAGTTCGCTCCGGTGGGGCGTTCTTAGTCAATTGTAATTCAGCAGTTGGTTGATGATAATGGCGTGATGAATCAGTAGACTTCGATAGTGATGGGCGTAGAAGCACGAGAGATTTCTGTTGTGGCCTGCACTGTGATAGGAATAATGGTCGCATCTTGATAATGGGTGATGAAGATGAAATCCACATTGCGGGACTTGGGCGCAGGGACGGAAAATAGTTTATCCGGATTGCCCGTCAAAATGTTATCCACATTCCTATTTTTCAACATCACGTCAAGGGTCTGTACATTGAGACCAGCCAGAGTTGAGGGTGCAATAAGGAGATGAACTCTGATAGTTGTCTACTTTTGGCTCATAGACTCCGGTCGTCAGTCCGTAGTGTAAAAGCACGATCGCCTTACTGGTCATTATCAGTGTTCGACGAATGCCAACGCCTTTAGCATCCACACGATGGCCTCAACCAAGGCAACTATCAGGTTCATTGAGCTACATCATGTGGCATATCTCAATGTGCGGGTCGAGAAAGCAGCCAGCAAAATGCTAAACCCGACACTCGTGCAGTCTGCCCTTGACTCGCCATCAAATCAAAATCGCTACGGCGGAGTCAAGGACCTGAGCCATTTAAGTGCAGCTTTGGGATATAAGCTGATCAAGAACCATGGATTCGCTAACGGAAATAAGCGGACTGCTGCCCTGGCTGTGCACCTGTTCCTTTTGCAGAACGGGAAGAGAGTGCAGAATAATCCTTTTGATGTGGAAGAAAACCTCGACATCAAGAATGCGCACGCTATGGTAGCCGAAGGAAACATGACTGAGGCAAAATTGGCCTCCGTTTATGGTATAGCATGGCAAAACGCCACAGAGGAGGACTATAAGGATGCAGCGAATCTAGGTCAAGGCGAGGTGGAGAAGGCAAGCGAAGGACGATCACCAGCCGAACAGTAACTCCCTTGTCTTTCACCTCGGGTTCGTGCGCCATCGAAAAGCAACAATGGGTGCTAATGAGGCAGACTTTCTGGTGATCAGCACGACATGGTTGGCCAGTAATGAAACTCATTCACTTCTTTGTCTCTAAGATCTATCAATCAGTCCTCAACACCCACACTACCTCGACTTCCGCTTCAGCTTTTGGATTACAAAGCTCAAAGAATCCATGAAATCCCCCTCTTTTCTATCACACAACCCTCGAAGCATCCGCTCAGGCGAGCCTCTCTCGTTCTCAATAAGTTTCCTCAGCGTCTCCAGCGCCGGCCTCAGCTCACGAGCGCGATCTTCGTTTGTCGTCAGCATATCACACTCCTCCTCAAATCGGATACACTCTAAAGTCTTCGGCATATTCTGCCGATCCCACATCGTCCCCCCATAGCACAACGAAGTCTTCAACGTAATTACAAAATGTGGAAGGCCTGGTTCCATGATGATCGTCCATCCGGGGCGCAGAAGGACGCATTGGGGTGAGCCTCCGACCCAGTACTGACCACCCGTCTCCTCGCCTTCTCTGCCACGTGCGCCGAAGGCCGCTTTTTCCTCGGCGGTGAGGTTGGGCCAGAAGAACCAGGCTTTGAGACCGGTTACGACTGTGAGGTAGTTGGTGAGGCCGTGCCGGTCGTGATGGGTCATAGAGATGGCGTCTGTTTCGCCGAAGAGGGTGAACGTTCGATTGCCGCTGAGATCCAAAGGTGGCGACCTTTTTCCTAAATGGTCTTTGTGCTTTTGATTGATCGTGTGAAGGAGGTTGAAACGCTTATTTGCTCTCAGGCACGGAGGCAAGCCCATTCCCTCCGAATTCTGAAGATCAAGGAGATTTATCGGCGGGGTGAAAGGTGCATTGTTATCGGTTGCCGCGCGCAGATTGTGTTCTTCGCCGCGGCGTCTATGATGGCTCAAGATTTGTTCCGTGGTATACAGCCTACCTGCGCCGTCCGTCCCTGCATAATCCGTGACTGCTACATTCTGGAGGTCGAGCTCTTTCCGCTCTTGAAGAAACGCCTCGTTTGACCTAATGGCGAAGTCTTGAAGCACAGTCTCATCACATACGACAGTCATAGCAATCATATCATCGAGCCGCCGAAAGTGTGCTGCTGCATCCGCGTGACTGGCGAAGAAGAGACAATCATCTCCCGGATCCTCTGGTGAACGTATGATCAACTTTTCGCCAAGCTCGACAGCTTTACTACTCGCAAGATCGAAATATGTCTGGAAGTTGTCAGGATCTTTTGGTAGACGCCTTTGGGCATTAGATATGAAGGCCGTCAAGAGTCGTCTTTCCTCTACCGCAATTGCTACCTCCTCATCTTGGGCTCGTGTCTCCGGCTGGGTGTCTAAAATACTGGTCGGATCCTCACAGACGCGAGCCAGATCAATGGCTTGAGCTTGGAGGCTCTTCTCAATACTACTCTCACCGACATCGACAGTCCATCTCCGATCCTTCGCGACGTCAGCTTTCTTCACGGAGACTACTTCGAATGTCGGACCCATATTTACCGATTGAAAAAAATTTCCTGGATGAATCAGATACTCTACGTCTTTGATGGCCTTCAATCGCGCTGAAGGACGATATACTTCAACCGCATTACACCACTTCACATTCTGTATCATATTCGGAATCATTACGCCCACGATGGAGTCAAGATACGATATTCGCCATATCTCCTGTCTTCCGCTATCCAGTCGATCGAAAACGCCTTTGAGTTCAAGGCTTGACAGTTGTGACAGATTTCCTTTCAATATCATGAACGCCAAATGCAAAGCGGGTCTGCTCGTACTACAACGCCTTTTGTGACTGCGAGAGCTATTTTGTGGCCTCTTATACACTCTAGTCACGCCGTTAAATGAAGAAGATCTCTTACGGGGCTCCACGACAAGGTGCGGCAGCCCGTCGATGGCTGTGTTTGGTGCTATTCCATGAATTTCACCACTATTCATCTGAATACGCTTTTCCAGGGGTCCTTTAAAGGGCATGTCCCAATGTCTTTCTTTCACAAAGGATGATAGCATATGTGCATTCAAGAAACAGGACAGATCCGGTAGGTCTAGTTGATTCTGTGATTTATACATGTTTCTGGCCACGGAATGAATGAGCCACGAAAATCTTTGATTCAGCACTCCGTCTACACTCGCCGGCAAGTAAATTGAAGGAAAGAAAAAATCTTTGTCGGTGGAAATGAACAAACAAATCTCGGCTCACTGCGTGTTTTCCGGATCGAAGTGAATAAAGAAAATAACAAATAACATATGTCTGCAACCGTACGCCAAGGCTCTGGACGCCCTTTAGCCTCTGCATTTACAATACCTCGCTGATGTGAGGAAATATGAATACCACATGAGGGAAATGCATCTATCCATTCTCTCACACCCTTCAAGTTCTCTGTGTGAATAACCTCAACGAAGATTATTGGCCGGCGGCGAAATTACCGCGGAGACAATGATTGGTCTCCATGCACCGCTCTCCCTTCATCCAAGCCTCTCTCTTCTTCCTCCTCTCCACCCCACTCCCGAATGCTGACTCACTCTCATCATCCATACCAAGACCCATCGATCAACATCGCCGCCACCTCCAGAACTACCCACATCCTCGACCCTGCCCGGCTCAGCGTCAGAACAAATCTTTTCTTGCTCCCCTAGTCTTCACGCCGTCAGCACACTTAGCATCTCCATCTCCTTGTGGTCGTACGATATCGTTCTTACTCACTTCAGCTTAAAACTACTACATTATTACAAAGCCGCCGTGCACTAGAGTCAAGGCAGTCGGTTCCTGGGTGCAAGCAAGAAGCGCGCTAATAGTTTAGCGAGGTGAAACTGTCGATATCAGAGCTCATGTGTGCTTTAGAACGTCCGTTCTAAGCATTCATGCCGCATTGAGTAAGCGAAGAAATGTGGTAAGGCGAAGGATGAGATGGATGCATAGGAGATTAAGTGATGAGTTCCATCGACTTGTGGATTTTTGGCAAAAGTCAATCAGGGAAGAGAAGGGAGGGGAGGGGCGGGTTGTCGTGCCACTTACCCATGATTGTTTGCCCGTTCAATCCTGTCCACCAAGCTCAGGAGAATTGAAAAGCAGGGTTGGCTGTGAAGGTCTGTCATTTGTTTGATGTTCCAACCAGCAGAAGGAATTCTTTGTCAAAGTCTGGAGCTTGCTGTAGGATCCGATACATTATTTGGTCATGTCCCTAAGATATCCACCACCATTGAAACACGCATGGTCTAATACTATGGGCGCAAGGGGGTAAGGAACGCCGTTAATTATAGATGTGTGCGAGTATCGTTGCGCTGTCTATTGAGAAAGTCAAAGGTACATGCTGGAGCATTACCGGAAGGGTGTCCATGCGCTCCATATGTACGCTTTGCGGTGAACCTTTCATCAATTCTTAGACCGCGACGACCATTTTCTGCTGCTATGAATTGAGAATTGCAAGGAGACAGATCAAACATTCACATATACTGAAACTCGCATTTCACTCAACTCCATGCATGTGTGACTACAGGGTCACAACGCACGCTACCCATCGAAATCCCTTCCATCCCTCGCAGCGTAGATAGTCCTTCCGCTTGCTTACCCAATTATCCCTTCCCTCTCATATCCAATGTTCTCCTGGCAGCATTCCACGAATAGCAATTACGCCTCCATAGACCCATTTGGAAATCGGCGTCACCTATGCGGCATTCTACCTATAATTCACACGGTTTCGAAGGTGTATATTCCAGATGTGTCTCAGCAACATGCCCTTTTCGATTGAAGTCTGGGGTGTTCGAAAGCCAAGTGCTACCAGAGCTGCATTCCACTCAAAGGAAGCCCAGCTCCACGAGACCTCTCCTGTTACAATGTACGAATCGAGGCCGACAATGCCGAGCATCGCAGTCTATTTCCCGATATGTCGTGACCATGGGTCTCGACGGCGTTACTGATGTCGTCCCCGTGGTCCTCTGAAGGGTTGGCGCGCATCTCGAGCTGGTGCGCGGCCATGAGTCTGACCTGTGGCTTGTCTATTCTGGGGTTGAGCCGGGGTCTCTGGTAAGCGCCGGTCACGATTTCCAGCCATATTGCGCCCATAAGTAGTATTAGTATTGCGTGGTTCTCGGCGAGCGAATGGGTTCCCTCGATTGGGATTGTTTTCCCACAACCCTCGGTTTCTCCTGGCACCATAGCCATCTTCATCTGTCCTCTGTTTCCAGGTCTCATCGAAAGCATCGTCACGGAGGCCAGGGGCGGGTTGATGAGTTCGTTCTCGCTCTGATCTTGCGTTCTCCATCTCGGCTCTGAGTTGGACATTTCGTTCGTGGTCTTCGGCAGGAGTATTCGCTGAGAAAGCTCCCCATGCTCTGGTCCCTGGTAGGGAAAATGTTAGCCTCGCAGCCATTCTTGGGATCTTGCGACTTACCCTTTCCCCTACGGTCGCCGTCATTGTCCCTCCCCGGATGTTGAGAAGGTGTCATAATGGCTCCATCATTAGCCTTTTCCTCTTCCTCTTGAGGATGCGTCATATGTTCGTTGACTCCAGCATTGTTATCTTCTCTCCCATGCCGTACTACGGCTTCATCAATCTGTGGGTCATGTTGACCTCCTTGGGCTGGACTTGCAGTGTGTAATTTTTGCAGTTCTTGTGCGCCACCAGCTTCTCCCTCTCTTTCATGAAGAACTGTCACATCTTCATTATCCCAAGCTTTACTTTCTCCTCCTTCTCCTCCTTCTCCTCCTTCTCCTTCTTCTCCTCCTTCTCCTTCTCCCCCTCCCCCTTCTCCTCCTTCTCCTCCTTCTCCTCCCTCACGCTGGACCGCAACATCACGGGCGTGTAGGTCATTTGGGCCTCGTTGTGACGAAATTGGGTTGTCAATTGTTTGCTGATCCAATTTTTCACTACTGTCCTTTTCCTTTTCCTCATGAAGAATCTCTCCATCTTTTTTGTCCATAACTTTTTCCTCCTCTTCTTCGTGCTGTACCGCGGCACCACCGGCGTGTAAATCCTGTAAATCTCCTGGAGGCGGACTTGCAGAATGTGCTCTTTCCAGTACTTCCCGCGCATCCAGAAGCCGAGTGCTCGAATCTTTCGCATAGTTCACGGTCCTGAGAAGACTTTGCTGCAAAGCGAGCCTTTTTTCCAAGGCGGCGACTTTCCGTTCAGCTTCCCTGATGGCCCTTTCCCGCATTAATCGTAATGCAGCACTCACTGCTTCGTAATCACGGAATCGGCTATTTGCAGTCCCCAACATCTTGTGCCATGCAATGCGCAATTTGTACCGACTATTTTCCGACAAGGTCCTTCTTGCATGGTCGTCCACCATCGTACTAGTGTCAAGAAGTTGATCTATCGAGCATCCGTCAGTAAGGCTTCTCATTCTACTCATTGACCTTACTTACCTTGCGCTATCAAGAGATTCTGCGTGCGGTAGGTTGACAGCACGCTGGGCCGGCGTCGCCGCTCTTGCCATTCTTCGACATATAAAGCATGCACATCAAAGGAATCGAAGGCTTGGAAAGCTGCGAAAGTGCTGATCAGAAGCCAAGTCTGGAATTGCCTCATCGACTGGCGTGAGAACAATGCAGCGAGGTGCTGAATAGCACTAGATGCGATCCTTTGCACGACCATGGAGAAGTATTCCCGAAGGCTCAATCCAGACTGCTCTGCTCGAGGATCGTTGGCCTGCGTGTCTGACACGAATGACCATGCAATGGCTGCATTCGATTCGTTGAAGCCAAGGACGTTATTTTGTCCATCGTAAAAGACAAGTCCCTTTGTTTCTTCAATGCTGTTTCTAAGCTCACTAGATTCGTGGCTCGGAACGTTGATGGAGATATTGAGATCTACGACGTCGTGGTCAGGAATTACATGCGTATTGAACGAAGCCTCGCCGAAAGCTTTATCAAAAACGACGGCCTCGGGAAGTTTGACTTCGTACCCAGGGACAGGGAGGTACCCTTCGTAGGCACCCACAACCGCTAGCGCTCCTATCGCTGCAGGAGCACCAATGCGAAGACATATCATCACATAGGGCAAGACCCTGAGTAAGACCCCGAGAAGCGGCATTATGGGATGATGATTGAATGAATGGATAGCACCGCTGAGTTTTGATGCCTTGCAATGCAGGTCAATAGTGCTGGAGCTGAATGATGAAGTGTTGTGACCTGGTATTGAGATGAAGATCTGATAATGAGTAGTAGAAAGGTATCGTTGTAGGATGAAAGGAGCTTTCGGTAGGGGGGCAGGAGGGATTATATACCCGTCAGACAACTGGATTGTGAAGCTGCCTCCTGTGAAGTGTTGGGTTTATCGTCGGCAGTGTAAAGGCAACATGCTTTTCGCTGAACGTGACTTCTCGGCTCGCGTGTAAGGTGTCAAACACTCTCCAGTGGAACCAGTGTACACATCACGGTGGGTGGTGGCAACAAATCCTGTCTGGAAGGAGATAGATGTGTAACATACTTTACACGTTGCATATCGCAATTACCAGAGTACGGTCCTGCTGAATTCATTACTTGATTCGTCGCGGTGATATGTAGCATTAGCGTCAGGATTAACTAGAACGCATCGCAAAACACGTCTCCAGCCTTCTGTATATGGTGCAGCCGGCGAGGTGGCAAGGTTGGAGCTCGGACCTTCCAACACCTTTGCTCAGGGGCAATGATACAGGAGCCTAAAGGAAGAAATCTGTAAATTGGTACCAATGCTATTGCACGTTCATCGTCCCTCAGCTTATGGTTTAGTGTTTCCAATGACATTTTCTCATGTAGGAGAAGCACTCAAGCAACGGCACTACTGCAGAGGCGCAAGTCAGTCGATATTGCACAGTTGACAAGCCTGATCTCAAATCAGCAGCGAATCATGATCTTTGAGCTCTTGAGACTCTTTAGCCACGAACTCGGTAGAATTTTTCGCAACGCTTCCCCTCCACCATCCCGTCTTCAGTGCATATTCTCACCTCATCATCTTTTTCCATTGAATTGTTCTATCTTTCATGTCATTCCAGCCAGCCTCGCCCCAGTCCTCTCAAGAAGTAAATGTCCAAGTCCCGGCCATCGTGATCAACCTGCCTTCGTGTCCTTGCAGCTGTCGAATTCTTTGCCTGCGAAGAGGAGTCGCCCAAGCCCCCAAGACTCGGAGATATGATATTTAACAATCTTTCTGCGTCCGAAGCTTCCAATGAAACCCTCCCCACTTTCAGCCCTTTGCAGTGTCGACCCCAGGGCGTAATCCCTGGCTCACGTGGACAATCGCATGCCACATAAGCAGCCAGACAGTCCAGATGTCATCGAAGAAAATACTGGCTGATGACACGATCAGGTACGGGCTGAAGATCGCCGCCACTAACACTGCTGAGGTCAGGCATCGTAGTGTTTGGCGTGTGGCTTGTTTGGCGTGAGGAGAAGACTTCTGTTGTGGTGAGGTTTGACGGAGGGGAGGAGGGAAAGCAAGCGATTTGCCAAGTACGAAGGATATTGAACGGCACTTGCAGGAGAGGGGGTAGTGATGTTACTGGATGATATCGTCGATGTCAAAAATCAAAGGCTGGCGGGGCTTGCGGGCGAGGGAGGATGGTTATGGACGCTAGACGGAGCGGATCAGCTTTGATCCGGGGATACCCCTCCTGCTAATTCGTCGCAATTCTCCACATCAATGACGGGGCCCCCATTGTCGTCTTCTGCATTTCTGGCATCTTCTATTTCATTGTTCATCAAATATTGCAATGGAGATTCAGAATATTGCACGACTGCGAATCATGCGAGACCAATGATAGCCCAGCGTCAACAATCATCCCCTCCCTTCTCACCTAATCGCGACCTCCAGAGACCCCAGCCTAACAGATGACGCTCGACAACATTCTCCAATACATGATGAGGCAAGAAGAAAAGAGAAGTCAACTATCACGGGACAACAGCAATGATCACAATGCAATGCGCGTGAGGAAATGGCTCTGGCTTGCTCGAGGTGGCAGTCAGCTACCAACTACCCACCCAAAAGATTGAAAAGACGCGATCGGTTCTAGAACGGTGGAGTTCCTCTCGAACTTGGGCGAAAGCACCCTTCATCCTATCCTACAATGTCTCAATGACACGTCTGCGGGAAACCCCAATCCAGTTGAGAATGAATTCGTGAGGAGAGGAGGAGGAAGCCTACAAGGGGTAACATATACATCGTCGCTGCAGATAAGCCTTGCTCGACAGTAAGAGGAGAGGAGAGTGACGATGGGGTCGCGGGAGAGGAGAAGATGCAGGCTTTGGGGGAAGGGGATGGTCGGGGGCGGGGTGCGGACGGTCAGGGATGCAGTGGTCGAGACGGAGGGGTGCGGGAAGATGTTGAAGACAGAAGGAGGGACATGGGGTATTAAGAGTATGATCGGATGGGCTGGGTTGAGGTGGGATGCCGTGGTATGGGGGGGCTGGAGGTCGGAAGGAGCTACCACAGTGGAGAGATATGACGAGGTGCGGTGAGATGCGGAGAGACATTGAAGATTGAATGGTGATAGGGCGAAGAGGGGCACGGGAAGAAGACTGTGAGCTTGCAAGGGGAAAGAGGTTGAGGGGGTGGAAAGAGGCGGAGCAAGTTACGGGGAGGAAACATAACGAAGAACTAAATTACTTGTCACAATTTGACTGAAGTTGATGGAGCCATGACAGCGTATGTCCACATAAATATCAGCGACAAGATCACATTCTCCATCATCCCGCTGAAAGGCGGCTTACCGACAGCGTACGTTATGGTCATCCGGCGGAACCGGGCAGAAGAATCATGAACTTCTGAGAAACGAAAGTGATGCGGTACAGAGTCTCGTACGCTTGTGTGATCGACTATACCAAATTTCCACTAAGACAGTGTCACCTTCAGAGATAGCACCTTGCGGCTACAACGCCTCTTACAGGACCAAAGGGGCCCATGCAACGCGGTAGTGCGTTGAACGCAGAGTCATGCTTCTTGCTATCGATGCATACGATGAAGAGCCCATCAAGAGGTTAGCTAGGTCTCACATCCAATCAAGGAAGACCCTAGAAGAGATCCTCGGAAGGATCTCAGGAATGACACCAGGCAATGAGATCGTTCTGCATTTGATCATCACGTGGCATGGCACTCACCACTTTTACGACAGATCAATTAGGCTATTACGGTCTTTTCGCAGGCACATATCTCAGCGCAACCGTCTGAATGCTTGTAGTATTGATTGTGGGTTTACATTAATGGCGCTCTTCACAGATCTCGTTCGTTCACAGTCGCTCGAAAAGCGAGGATACTCGATCAAGGAATTCAGTGAGGGCAAGACGGAGGACATTACGAGGCGATTTCAAGCTTCATTTTCCAGGGAATGTATCAACAAGCGAAATACTTATGATGGGACCAGTCGAAACGACAGTCATTTGGGACTTTTCCCACGCTTTTCAAACCCCCGATTATTCTTCTGATGGCCATCCTTCCAGAATGTCTGGTCTTTCGCCCACTACTCGTACGCTCTAAATCATTATGTTGTTCGTCCGCTCCAACGCAATTCGGTTTCGCAAGACACCAATCAAAGATCCATCACTCCCAAAATCATTTCAAACCAACACTTCTCCCTCCCAAGGAACCGAATAACCAAGCCGTTCACTCCTGAACAATGCCGCCCATTCACACCCCAACTGCGTGAAATGGACCCAACAAAGCATGTGAATCTCCTTGGAAGCCCCGTGTCAAGCAGTGTCGGTAGTGGTTGTGTCACTCAACTGTTCGTGAACAAGGCTATTGTCCTTAGAAAGCTTAGAAAATGTATTGTTTAGAAGTGTATATTTCACGCCGGAAGTTGACGTGAAGAACAGAAACAATCAACAAGAACAATGAGCAAGGCTCAAGTTGCATAAGTACGTCTTTCTGCCTTAGTTATTGCTTCTTACCAGGCTCTTGCACTCTCTCAGACCTTGATTACTCACTTTCCAAAGCTTCTCCAAGACTCAAAGAGTTAGCATCAATCTAACTGCTACGATGCCTCGAACGACCCGAAATTCAACAGGTGGTCGCGAAACCCACCGTCAAGCACCATATCCTCCACGAACCGGTAAAAAAGCCGGAGCAGCGCCCACAGCCCCTACCGAACAGGCCGAAGACAACTGTCCAATCTGTCAAGTAACATACCACACGGGAGAAGAACCCGAAACGCCCATCCGTCTCACCCATTGCGGTCATGAGATGGGTCTACTTTGCGCCGCAAAATGGCTCCTAATCCCATCTCGCGATCATGGATGCCCTGTCTGCCGCCATCAGCCCTTCGCTCCCCGCGTGCCCCAAGATCGCCCGCTTACGAACGAAGAGCTGTTTGACCTCGTGGATGGATCTGATGCTGGTCTAGAACTACCTCTTGGTACTGCTGAGCAGGAAATTGGAAGCCTCGTCATGGAAATCTCACAAGCTTTAGCAGACGTTATGGGAGTGCCTGCGGCTCAACGTCGAGCTGGACACAATAATAACAACAACAACCAAGGCGCAGCGAATCAGGGTCCGCCATGCGCGGTCCAGTAGTCGTTCTAACACCCAGCACAAATACCTGAGTCTAGTTTGCAGGCGTTATCTAGTTTTGCTTAGCATGCATTTCTTTGTGAAGATTGAGGATAGGGAGGCAAGGAAGAATTGCTTGAATTCAGATTGGTTGTAGACTGTTGGTAGACACATACAAGACGACTTTCCCTCTAAATCGCCTGTTCTGAAGTGTCCCTTTGTCTAGTACGCGACTGAGTTTCGGAGTAAGGATTTTCGCTGGCCCCCTCAGAGCTATGATTGGACCATGTCGAGTGATTCGAGAACAAGACGGTCAGGCGAGGGAGTGGATCTGTATCCTGATATTACGGTGGAGGATGGTGGGGGTTGAGTTCGCTGCCGGTGTATGTTGTTTTACTCTAGGTGGTGGTGAGAGGAGAAGGATAAACGGGGGAGAAGTGGGGAAAGTCATCAATTTTGCAGGAGCAGCTGGGAGGGGACTTGGGGAGATAGGAATGCTATGGTTGTGAGGGAAAGATTAGCTCAGGTACCCGAGGTGGAGGCCGTCATTTATGAGGGGAGGGAGCTCTACCCAATCGTCGGTCGAATGCACTCGTCTGGCAGTCTACGTTTGACAGTCCACGTTTGGTCCAGTGCAGCGTGAACTGAGTGGCTGCAGACCAGCTCCAAGGGGACTCGCTAAAGTCGATGGGGGTGATGCCGTTCTTTCCTACGCTTGAATGTAATGCACTTACACTTGTAACCGAGAGAATGCTAGAGCAGGTCACTTTTTTTATACACTTGGCTAGCATTGTGAGCCTATTTTGCGCACATCATAGCCGTGTCGCTTTACTTGTCGTATATACTCGTCTCAAATAGTGCTACATCAATGCCACAGAATTATGAAACTGAGGGTTATACTCAGACCTGCTGGTCTGGCACTTGTCAATCTATCACTACTTGGAGCGGAAACGTGAGACAATTTGTCTGGAGACACGTGCAGTAATATCAAAAATCACGAAGGTAAGGGATAAGATCTCTTTCCTCCTCTTTACCTTACTGTTCACGACGTTCACCATTACTCAAAAGAACACACACGGCCCTTGTTGAATCTAGTATTACGAGACTTTTAGAGGTATTGGCCTTTTAGCCCGCGAAAATGTCTCGAAGAGCTTCTGTGTTGCTTGATACACGGAGTATACGAAGGAGCGATCTGGCAGTACGGGTGCTAAAAGCTACGTAATATCTGTCGATTTCCACCAGTGACTAAGAGCAAGGCTAGTGTATTGTCGTTACGATCGCGTAAACGTTTGGAGGTACTTGCCCAAAGAATCTTGCAATGTTCTGGAATCGCTGACATTTTTGCTGCTGAAAGCAACCCTCTTCTGCACGAACAACATTTTGAAACAATATGCTTGAGCCGGAACACCTGGCACTTCGCTCGCACATAAGAATTGTATTGGTGTAAAGTCGTTGGGATTACTTCTCCCCCAAATAGGTGAAATTGAAGCGAGAGCGACGACCAAAAAGAAGGATGCGAAAAATTCACAATGAAGAGGATATTCCAAGTATAGAGATATAAGTTCTACTTACAACCTTGTAGCAAGGAATGAATGAAGAAGACGGGGGTCAAAGAAATGGATTAAGCTAAAGAAGGGGATGATGAAGACATAAATATTGTCCGCAATGTACATTTTGCGAATGCCATCTCTTCAACCTCATTCCCCTCAGTCTGCAAAAACACAGTCCATCCAAATAGCATGAAAGTTCTCGGCGTTGTCCCCATGAGCAGCAGCGATATTCTCGAAGAACCATTGCTTGAGGTAGCGCCGCTGACTCTCCGTGTCATTAGGACCTAGACTTTCGACTTCATCGGCATCACCATCATCTGCATCACCATCATCGGCATCAACATCATCGGCCTCACTATCTCCATATGTCCAACCCTGCATCTCCTCAGCTAACTTCATTGTCTGTATGTCCAGCACAAGTAATCCATCGGTATGATTGCGTAAAGCGCCGAATTCTCTATTGGCGACAGCGATAGCATGATCAGCCCTATTTACTGAAGCGGCAGTTTCTCTACACTGACTCGCTTTCTCGCGCAACTGCTTCGCCCGCTCCGTATCCTTTTCTTTCGTTGGTATATCGTGGGCGTCACGGGCGATTTGGTTACATGGGGTAAGTTCCTGTAAGAAGGGCGCGCGATGAACTGCGCATTCACGTGCTAAGTCTATGTAGCTGGACCCGAGTAGTACCGCGCTCTGTCGGACTTGAACTGTCTTCGATGTTGTGGTCAGAATCATGTTGATGGTTGTATTAGGACTTGAGTCGTTATGGTGTAGGAATGCAGGGGGTAAGGATGAGATGATGTGGCTATTTAGCGCCAAGGACGAAGCTTTGAATGAGGCCAGTCGGACGGCGGTCTTATCGCGTGTGCTCTGGTATGTACATCCAGCGAAATGGTTCAGGAGCTCTGGATTACTGGCATCATATGGCTGCATTCCTGTGGTATCTAGATGAAGTATTGCCTCTGCTGCTGGGTCAAATTTATTCCTGAGAGAGATATCCGGGTACATTAAGACGTCGAAGGCCACCAATGCCACGACTAATGGAATGGCCCACCAGAGGCAGCAAATAAACCACCTATATTTATCAGAAGCATAGCATAAGAATTGGAGGTGAGGACATACCTAGGTAGGAGTGACGGGGATCCAGTGCTTGACGTGTTATTTGGATGTTGATTACTATGAAGCTCTCGTTTGCCTGCAGAAGCTGCTACTGTAGTGTCAGCTGATGATTTCACCTCTACTCGCAGGTGTACTTACTTTGATTATCTATCGACTCCGACATCTGCTTCTTCAGGTAACCTTGACTAGGGTTTTTTGCTGATGGAGTGTTTGTACTGCATGATCCAAGATTGTTGATGTTGGCCATTGCTGCTCTAGAGAATTCAAACACTGGCGATGATATGAGCGCTCTCTATCGCCAAGTATTTTCCAAAGTGAAAGCCTTGATTTCCTGCTCCCGGGTTAACAGCTGAGGCAAATGATCGCGTTGTAGCAATGTAATGGGCTTGCAACTCTCAGCTTTTTATGTCGGTACCCTACCATTACACAAGAACACGTGTAGTAAATACACGTGTCGTAAACGTGTTATCACGTCTGGGATTGTTGCCATATTCGTGATACCAACATGTGTTGTTGATATCTACGCGTGACGTATGCTAAGCGTACAAGAATTATGTCTAGAAGTCGTGCAGGCTCCCCGTTGATAGATTGTCCCCACAAATCACATGCATGAGTGTGTACATAGGTCTATTGCTTGCTATGCACAGGCAGACTTAGAATCCAATATCCATAGGAGGATGTGAGGCCCTAGTCTGCCAGGAGACACAAAGATGCACACATTATCCATAAGCGTCTATAGACCTTGCAATGGGTGTGACCTCAGTATTGTTTCATCGGTTAGACACCTCCACAATCATTCTTTTTACGTCCCATATCTCTGAACTAACGCTAGAAGATTCGCAAGCTGAGCTCATAACATTATCCAGGCTCCAGAATACACTAATCTCCTTATCAACGATATAAAGTTATGATCATAGATAATGGTACGAGTATCCGCTGGCAGTGATGTAGATTTGAGTACTAAGCTTGGCCACAAAAACTGAAACAGGTGAATGCGAACGAGGAATCAAAAGGTAAACGTCGGGGAATTGCTAATTCAATTGGAATGGGGCAGGTGACATTGGCGTCCAAGAGCTCACTCTCTTGTCTGAGGGCCGATAGCTTCATGACCCCTCCCCTGCTCCTGTTTCGTACAAAATAGACCATCACATGATTACCACTTTCTAAAGCAATCCACTCAAGCCTGCGCCATTCTGTTCACCTTCCACATCCTGCTGCTCTTTCATCATCTCTCGACGACAACCTCAAAGAATTTGCGACATATATGAAATGATCCGTTGAGGGGCAAAAGCTGCCAACACTTTTGCCATATCCAAATCTACCGCTGGATTCAAATGTCACATTTTTCAAGGCCGGGGATGGCGCAAGGAGAATTAGCACTTAACCTGTTATGAGGTCTAGCTTGCATATTTGACAGCCAAGAAGCCGTGGGCGAGACATGTAGCTAAGGACGCATGATTGACTTAGCCCCCAGGCCGTCCAGTGGGTTGTTTTCAGAGGTCGGTGCGATCGAGGTGCCGTGGCCAATCGGTGCATTTTCTTTCGCTGCTCTCATTTGCCGTGACCTGACATGCAGGACAGAAGTGCAACGCTATTCTCCTTCCAGCTTTCACAATCTCCAGCGTTGAAACCTTTGCCCATTCTACCACATTTCTTGACCTTGCTTTGCTGTTCCCTGCATCACAAGCACCGGAGTGAGCGGCTAGACTGATTCTATCTTTCACAGGGTCCAGCATCGAAGTGCTGACGGTTCCATCAAGAATTTGACCAGGTTGTCTGGGATCGACCCTTATCAAAGGCCGAAGTGCCCCACCATCCGGAGTTGCGAAGCCAGCGCTTTGCCTCTTCCATCATTTCCAATGTCTAGCTTCGAAGCTCTAACGATTCTGTCACATTTTTGCTATGTACCCAAGGACCAAGCTTATGCATCATGCATGCAGTCCCACCATCTCTGCAGTACGTCAACAGACCATAGCTATTCCCCTTCCATCATTTTCCAAGTCTAGATTCGAAGTTCTGACGACTGTCATATTTTTGCCATGTCGTCGGCGCATGTATTGTGCATCATTCATCATTCATCATGCAAAGTCCCACCAGCTCGCATTCGCGAGATCAGCGCCGTCCCTCTTCCATCATCCTTCAACCCCAATTTCGGCGATTCTCTTTGTCAGGTGGTCAAAGCGCGGAAGGCCTCAGCAGCTTCCTTGTCCCATTACATTGAAGTCGACGCCATTCCCCTTCCGTAATTCATAAAGTCCAGCGTCAAAATGCTAACGCTTCCATCACACTCCTGCACTGAGCTGGCATCATTTGTGCATTTCCCAACCGCCGTGATTCTCGAGAGATTGCAGGCGCTAAGGAAGTGGGGTTCGCCGCGTCGCTCTTCGACTCCAACAACAGCCTCACCTGTTCCATGACCGCACCTGCCTTCCTCCTCAGCTTCCTACCATAGGCTACTGCGCTTGCTGCTACTCCTCTAAATCCCGAGGTGTTCCCATTGTAGTGGTGAAAACGGTGGCCTCTTTTTTGATGGGCTTTCGCCCATGTCGCTTAGCGGTACCGAAGGTTAAGAGGAGCACATCGAAGCGAGTGGTAATGAAAGCAGCCTTCGTCTTTGTGGGTGAGAAAACATGGTGGACCATTTCCAAAGCGTGAGTGTGGGACTCCCATGGTCAAACGATATTCGTCATCACTAGATACAACCAAGAAGTCCTTGATTTGAGGGAAACGTGGGAACGCTGCCGCAGCTTCCGGGTAGGAAAGACATCCCTAGATTCGATGACTGAACATCGATTTGGCCGCAGCCATGTTAGTTGGAGTTAAGTCTGTAAAACAAGAAAAACAGGTCTCCGAGAGGGAGGTACCAGATGTGACAGATACGCAAGAGCCCCAAGAATTTGAGGATAAGAATAGCGAGCATTTGTGGGTGACCGTGGATTGTAGTGTGGATATACTATAGAGTGGCGCAGAAACAACTCAATAGTATCACGAATATGGGTAAGTGAGGCTCCTTTGGGTGTGTAGTCAAGCATTCAGAAACACGTGGATAATAACAAAGAGAGACTCTTGACTTTCGATGTTGGAACTGTTTCTTTTCTCGAACTCGATAGCAAGTATCCAGCAGAAGGCAACGGCGTCGCAATCCATGTTTGGGGGGGACATCCACATTAAACACCAAAGACAGTGCTGTTGCTAGTTCACATACTGTAGGCGGCTACTATCGAACGATAGTTGCTCATTTGTCGACCTGACCAAGGCGTAACCCATTGCAGTGACACGACAGCGTGATCAATAATCTGGATAATCATAGGTCTCTTGTCCAGATTGAAACACTCGTACGCTACGACCGTAGGCTTCGGCGACGAGATCGTAAGGACAAAAGTTACCTGGCAACTGTTCCTTTAACGAAGCTCTGAGAGTCAAATCTAGTGCATTTTTCTGTGACTACGCCACTCACCCTCGAAAAGCTGTACCGGAGTGATCGGAGGCAAGTATTGTAGAGTTTTCCTCGTTTGGTAGATGGTGCGGCGTGATATTGTGAAGAAGAGGCCCTTGGTCTGCTTCTTCGAGCATCCAGTATTCGTTTGCTGTCGTGTCGACTACAAGGGCTGAACGTGACTGAAACGAGCCCTCAAATCGCTTTCCCATGTTTCTCATCGTCTCTTCCACATGCACAGTCTATTGAGTGGTCCTCCAATCACTTCCCTCCTGCCCGCCCTATCCCAAGAGCCTCTTCTCCACGGTCCTTTCCCCTGCCGGCATCCGGTCTATAACCAGTTTACCGACCCTGTCCCAGCGTATCCTCCTCTTTTCGACGCAGATGTTCTTGCTCTACAGACTCTCTGTTTCTCTTGATAATTACTTCACTTTTCCTTAGCCAATCACTGCCTGATTCTTCACCACCTTCTCAACATTGCGCATAATCGACTGGTCTCCCGGGTCGATTTGTTCCGCCACCTGAGAAATTGTAGGCTTCTTTCATGACGCAAATGCTTGTGTGCCCTTTGACCCTATGGTTTGGGCTGTTCTTAGAGAAACGGCGGGAAAGAGCAGCGAGAAGGGTTGTGAGAGGAAGGAGGCGAGTAAGATGACGGCGGATGTTTCAGAGGAGGTGATACCGATGATGACGATTGAGCCAAATGGTGGTGATGGGGCAGAGTAGAATGCTCATGGAAATAGGTGGCACAGTGGGATTGCGCTATCAGATTCTTGCCGCCTGCTTTGCCATTCGCATTTGGAATTCTCCAGTGCAGAAGTACCTATTGCGCGTTTTCGAGGCCGAAACTGGGCCCAGCGGACAGTGAGAGCTGGAACTGCTGAAGACTTGGTTCGTTGACTCCACATTCTTGAGCAGGCAACGTTGCCTTTTGGGAAAGGCGGTTGTCGATGTTTTGATCGCGGGTATGAATGTATGCAGTCTGCAATTCAATGGCGCTTCACGTAGGGGCTTGAAGCTGTAGACACAATGCGCTTGTGGAGGCAAGGCGAAGGCGTTTTTGATGGAGAAAGAGATGTAGGAGGGTGTTCATTGATATCAAGTGGTCGGATGGAGGTGGGCTGTGAGGCATATCACAGATCCGTTTTGAAATCTCCAAAGGGCATGGAGATGATGCAAGTCCGTGGCAAAAGATCAATCCATTTCCTGCCCCTTTGATTTTTACCCGTCATCGCGCGCCATTCTGGTCTGAACAGCTTACGCCTTGGCTCTTCCTAGTCCTGCGAATGTATCAAGTGATGCCCACAGCCTAGCCGCTCAATCTTCGAATATTTGCAACAGCTTGCTGCACTTGCTGTCCGTCCTGGCGGCATAGCAGCTCTTGAAGATGATATGGGCACCCTGGTAACCATACATCGGACCCATGACAGGTGTAGGCCGCCTTCGACCACCGCGTCTGAGAGGTTGGCGGCGCCTTTGAAAGGAGTGCTTTCTCCCAGAGAAGGTGGAGGAGGCTAGGATCTCATGCTGTGTAGATGATAGATCGAGGGCGGAGGGAGGTAGAGAAGGTAGCGGAGCGACGCAAGGGTTTTGCGGATTGTCGCAAGTTTGGAAGTCTTCTTTCAGGTATCGAGGGAGGACGCTGAGGGGCACAGTGGAGGCTTAATGAAGAGGCTGGCCAACCCTTGCAATTGACAGTCAGTATAGTTGGCATAATTGTGAAGAGATCGATATTGACCGTACCATCCCAATGTACGTGCTTTTCACTGCACAGCTTGTTCTCTCCGCTATCGTACGAGTCTTGAGGTGGA